TTCACGGAAATCATCTTGTCCTGGTGCTTTATCTAAAGGAGGGGCGTCTCAGGAAGGAAATCCGACCCCGGCTCCGGAGGACAATAAAGCAATACATTGCGCAAATCCAAACACTCCCTTTCCCAATACCTGGTCAGCTAAGTGAGAACACAAGCTCTCGATTCACAGACAGGAACAGAGCTGCCCGCGGAAGTCAGTCAATATCATCCCTGAGCATCCCAACCACAGGCCGGAAGAAAAGACAGGGCGCATCACTGTCTCCAGCGGCCGACACCGCCCCTTCTCATTCACGCGCCGCTGACCGAGGGACGGCTCGCAACGCCAGGGGCCAGGGGCGGCTTGTGGAAAAGTTCCTGCCTTCGGAAGCGAAGAGACTCCTCGTCCTCGGCGGTCCAAGCGTGTTCCAGGTGGCTCTTGTGAAACCTGGGCCTGGGGAGGCACGAGGAAGGGACAGGGTCTGGATGCGTGAACAGGAGAAGCGGAGGCACCAGCCACAGAGACTGTCTGTCCAACGGGGAGCTTCCCAGAGGCCTGGCCCAGCCTGGTGGGGCGAAGAGCAGGCCCAGGCGCCGGGGATCCGAGACCTGGGCTGATGTGCCGCTTACTGTGTAGACTTGAGCAAACCAGCCGATGCTCCGAGCCTCAGTTTCCATGTCTGTTAGAGATGAGTCCCCCACAACCCACCCCTCTTTAGCACTTTCCTTTGCCTTACGGCCCTCCCCAGCTCTTCACGCCACTCACGGTTCATGGCCCGACACAGGCATTTTTGCCTGCTCCCCTCCCAGGAGCTAGACCATGCCTGTCTTCACTGCACTGCCGCCAAGTGCTCCACTAAGGGATCTCCTGGGTAAATGAAATCACATGGACAATCTTGGGAGAGTGTCACTGTCCCCATCATGGGAATTCATCACATAGCCACTGAATGAATTCATGACCCAAAAGAAAGTCATGGAGCCTGGCACATGGCCACAGGCACGGTGGGGACCTGTCAGTTCTTAGTCCCTCAGCCCTCGGGGTGTGATGCCTATGTCCTATCCTGTGTCACATCTCTCTGGCAAGAAACACCCTTTCCACACTACAACACAGGGCCCGATGTCCAGCTTCAGACCACCGGCAGTGTGCTCACCTGACCCTCCGACCAGCTTCTGGAATCGGAGCACACACGTAAGTCTGCAGGCTTGAGAAGGCTCTTGAAAATTAACAAGGCCTGTCAAGTCCGCTTCTCTCCCAAATGGCTGGAGCTGCGTCAAAGCTGCCTTCTGCAGGTGGGTCACAGGCTCACCTGTTCAGGGTACCCCGTCTCCTCTCCCCATCCCCTTGCACTAGCAAGGGCAACTGCCCGGCGGGCCCCAGGTGGCCGCAATCCAAGCATTCTGGGGTGCAGGTTCAAAGGGTCTGGGGCTCCTGGGGCCCAGCTGGTTATACAGCGTTTCAAAGCCACTGTCCAGCCTCTCCTAACCCTTCCTGCCAAGGGCACTCTTCCAGCTGCAGGGACTCGTCTTCTCTCTTTCAGGCATGTGGAGAACCAAATCCTTGCCTCTCCGGCCAGGGCAGCAGGGAAGACCAGGCTGCAGAGAGCAGACACCATGGCGGTGCTGGGACTCTCCGCCTAGACCCCGGTTCAGGCGTCACCAGCCCTAATCGCCAAAGAAAGGCAGGGTACCGGTGAGATGGACCACTGCGAACACACCTGCCTCCCAGCCCCCCACCATCCTGGATGAATCGGTCCTGCTTGCTGCCCCGCCTGCAATGCATAAAGACATGAACTTCCTCCGCAAGGCCCTAGAGATAGGTGGTCCTCCTGGGAGATGGACCTGGGAGGGAAGACCTGACCTGCAGCCTCACTCAGCTCAACCAGTGCGGAACCGAACCGCGAGCCCGCTTCACTGCCCGGCTGGTCTCCCCATCCTGGAGGCAGGGACATTTCCTGCCAATCTTTCAGAACTATTAGAAAAACTTATTTGATAAAAACTGCCTAATTTAAAAAGCATTTGTATGCCCAGGCCATCTTAAAGTCATCTATAAGCTGTACTGTGTATCAACCAAGACATCCTGTTTCAACATACAGTTTGTAAAATCAGTTCGTGCCATGTTCTGATTTTGCAACGGGGGTGGGGGTGGGGGCAGAGAGGGCCCCTCTGCTCAGCCTCACAGCGCTGCGCCCCCTCCCTTCGCGGGTGTCCTGGGACTTTCCTGGAGAAACAACTTCAATCCGAAAACACCGTGCCTTTCACTAGCCCAACGTGAATAAGGCGAAGGATGCGGGGGGTGGGGGGCGCACCGGAAGATGGGAGCCCCAGGAATGGGTCCTCAGCCCCAGCTTTGCCGCCTCCTTCTCCAACCTCCCTACAGGAGGCGCGGGCGTCCAGCCGCCAGCAGCCGGCCACGGAGCCCCAGCCTTCAGCGTCAACACTGGCCGCTCCAACCGCGCGGGCCGATGCGGGCCGCAGGGCGGACGGGCAACTGGGCACCAGGACCGCGACGGGGCGGTCCAGCTGCCGCGCCCAGGGCCCGGGCGGCTCCGAATCCCAAACACACACGCACACACGAGCGCGCACGCCGGCCGATCCGTTCGCCCGGAGCAGTCGAGAGGCGCTTCCACCGCTCTCCATTCATTCCCCTAAAGGCAAGGTTCCCTTGCACGGGCCTCTCCATCCAGCGATCCCAAGGGGCTCTCCGGGGCTCCATGGGCGCCACGATCCCCCCCCCCATCCTCCCACAGCCACCCGCGTCCTCTCCACCCGCGCACACAGCCCCACAGACTCGCGCTCCATCACGAGCGCCATCGTCGCCCCCGCGCAGGGGCCGCTGCCACCTCGGCTCCTCACAGCTTCGCTGCCGGCAGCCGCTGCTCCCCGCCGCCCCGCCGCCCCGCCGCCCCGCCGCCCCGCCACCCCGCCACCCCGCCGCGCCTCTCAGACCTGCCGCTCTCGGCTTGCGGCGCCCAGGCCGGTCGGGGACGCCGAGCCGCCGCTGGGAAGCGCCGGCAACTCCCGAGTCTCGCTGCCTCTCAGCCCGCGGCGGGGCGCAGGGAGGAGGCAGGGGGCGGAGGGCGGGGAGGAAAGAGGCAGCCGAGAGCAAAAGTTCAGGCCGCTCGGGGCCTGGCCGCGCCCCTGTCTCCTCCCAGGCCCGCCCCCGCGGTCCCCACCCCCGGAACCGGGTTCCACTGGCGTCACGCCTGGGACCCCCGCTCCCCCCCCCCCAATTGCACGCCTCCTCCGCCCAGAGCCGTCTCGAGACTAAAGCCGGGGATCGGGAGGTGCTACGAGCCTGAGTCGGGGAGAGAGTGACGGGTGCCCAACAACCTGCCTCAGCCCGCGCCTGGAAACTTCCCCGAAGTGCGCGGCCGAGCGGAGCGCAGGGCTGGGGGATTCCCGTCCCCGCTGCTCCAACCACCAGCATCAGCGCGAGCTTACTCGGTGAAAGCCCGGGTCTGTCAGTCCGTCCGCCTTCCGCCTGCAGCTTCCAAAGCGGGGTGGCGCGACTCCTGGGACCGTTTCTCTGGTCAGCCGACCTGTGTGTGCCCCGCGGCGTGCGCCCCCCGCAGGCCTCTGGCTGTCCGCAGCGCCACCACCCCATCGCCAGGTCCCCGGTCCCCGAGCTCCGGCTGCATTCTCTCGAGCCAGGGAGGGGGCGTGCGAGCCCCGGCGCAGCCGCTGGCCAGCCCTTCCCGATGGGTCCCCGGCGCGCGGAGCTCCCGTAGCACGGCCAGGACCGGCGGCGAGCGGACGCCCTCCGCTGGGGACCGCGGCGGCTTCGTGGAGACCGGGCCCAAACCTGCCTCGGCCCGGCGCTCTCGCAAGTTCATTGTCTGCCTGGGCCGCCGCCGCGCCGGGAGCGCCGTGGGGATTGAGGCTGCGCGCAGCCTCCGCCGGCCGGGACTCCCTTCGCCCAGCCAGGGCCGCCGCCGGCGCTGCCGGGCGGGAACGCGGAGGGGCGCCGGAGCCCGGAGCCCGAGCCAGACACGCACCCGCCCCTCCTCCCCGCCCCCACCCCGCGCCTGGCACCCAACTTGTACCTGAGAAACCCGAGTCCACCCCGGAGCCTCTGCGGCTCCGGCTCCGCGGGAGCGCGCCCTGCTCTGCGCCTGGAGCTCCGCATCCAGGGCGCGTCAACCTGACTCCCCAAGCGCAGGGAGGAAAAGTTTGGGAGTGACGTGCAGATGGCGAATGAAACATCCGAAGAGAACCCTCCCCCCGCCCCATGTCGCGCTGACACACATCAGCTCGAATCTGGAATGTGAGATCAAGGCGTGCGCGCCGAGCGGTGGTCGGGTCCCCGCCCCCTCCCCTCCCCTGTAAACACGGTTTGTGTGATGCGGTGATTTCAAATAGAAAGCAAGCCGAGACCCCCGGAGTCGGCCGCGACCCCCTGCTCGATGCATTTTTAACGCACTTGGCGGTCTGGAGCCGTCCGCACATTGATATGCAAGGCCACGGCGAGGGTGGGTTCTGCGCCCTCTGTTGTGTTTTTGCATCCCCAGGCAGGCTCTCGGCGCTCTTGGGCCCAGAGTGTTCGCTTCTTCGGGAGGGAAGGCCTGGCGGGACCCGAGCGCCACCGCCTGCGTAGTGGCCGGCAGGCGGCCGCTCCAGGAAACCACCTGGGCTGCCCGAGGTCAGGGAAGCGGCACCAGTGGTCGATCCCCCGGATTCTGGACTGAAGACGCCATCGGTTAAAGAAAAGACACTTTGAATTCTGGAAGACTCGACTCAAGGGGCGCTTAGAGCACCAAGCCCAGCCTCTCGGGAAGCGGGTCCAAGGGACAGAAAAGAATCCTTGTTTCAGTCACGCAGCCCATGGCCTGCCCATGTCCCGGTGGCCACAGTCCAGAGCCCTCCTCCCAAAGCAACCAGAAGTGGAGGCGAAAGTGTTTTCTAAACTGGAGCCTGCTCACCCTGAGGGCTGCTTCCTGACAGTCCCTTGCCCCCTCTCTTCTTCCCTTGCGGCTCCCTCTCACCCCCACCCCCACCCCACCCCCAGAAACCATAACCTGCCGGGGAGGCCTCAACTTCTGTTCAGTATCCATGGCAATTAATGCAGGAGTCATAATCAGAGGATTATAACTGCAAATGAGAAGATGGGATGAGAGGGGAGTTCTCCAAAACGGGTTCTCATTTCTCTGCAAATAACGCCTCTTAGAGAAAATGACAAAGAAAGATTAAGGCAGCAAAGGGACCAGCCCTAGGACCTCAGACGGGACCGCTTTCCCCATCTAGAGCACACTTGGTGATTTCTGTTCATTATTATTTTTTTTAAACAAAACCCTTTTTCTGGAAATACAATGAGCTGCTTTTTGCAGGGTTCATAATTCCCAATAGATGATGATGCCATTTTTCAAGGCCTTCCACGCTGTGGCTTTGGGGCTCATTTATTAGCTCCTGAGAAAAGCCTGCCTTTCAGTGAGGTTTACATACTCGAGTAATTGCATCGGAGGACACAGCGCAGGGCGCTTTACAAGGGCTGGTTGTACAAGTCTGTGCGAGGAAGGCCCTGGGCCAGGCAGCTGTCAGGCCAGTGTGTGCGACGGGTTTAAACAAACACAGGGAAGGTTCTATGGAAACACGGAGGAGGAAATCCCTCCTGTAAGGGTGTGTGGAACTTATTCCACAGCCGCTCCTCCCGCGGCCGTTCTTCCTCTCCTCCCTCCGAGTACACACACGACTCCTTACGGAGATGGCTCTGGGCCCACCCCGATTGCTTTCAGATTCGGATGTCAGAAATCACGTCTGACAAGGAACAAATGGCTTGTAGGTAAAATCACGGAGCCGCTTTGATACGAATTCCACCAGGGACTTTCCAAAGGCATTTATACACGTGCCTGAGATTAACTGGAGGGCGAGTTTTCTCCTCAACATTAATTTAAAAAAATACCCCAGAATTGCCCTGGAGCCTGTTTATTCTGGAGAGTCGAGAGAGCACCCAGATGCCAGATTTGTGTGACTGACAGGGTGATGGATAGATACACAGAGGTATAACTGCGAGAGGTTAATTCCAGCAGGACATTAGCAAGTAGTGGGTGAAAACAATGCAAATAATTTGAGAAAACAAATATCCCCTCCTCATATGCACATTCTTAGGGTACCATAATTCTGGAGTTAAATTGCCTGGGTTCAAACCCTAGTTCCCATGCCTACTAGCTGAGTGACCTTAAGCAAGTCACTTCTCTCTGTATCTCAGTTGGGGTTTATAATAGCACCTCCTAGTGGTGGATTGGGTTGTTGACCCCATGGGGGGAGGGCTGGTCTACATCCTTGTCCCAGTCTCAGGGGGCATGGATATACTGCCCCCATTCCTTGACTTTGGACTTGGCCACGTGACTTGCTTTAGACAATGAGATCTGGGGGGTTGAGACTGAATCGAAAGCTTGACATATGTTGCAGGCTGGGCCAGCTGTCTTTGGTTCTTGTGGTCCATCATCAGAAGACTATGTCCCAAGAAGCTGCTACCTTTTCCCGCAAGGTGGAAGAGACATGGAGCAGACCTGAACTCTACTGCAGGCTGGAGCCCAGTCACCCCACCTACAGCTGGACTGAGCACTGCCGGGGTGGGGATGCTTGCTCTAAGCCAAAAAACGTGGGGGGTTTGTTACACAGCATTCTGTGGCAGTAGCTGACTGGGTACATTCACTCAGTGCGCTGGTGTGAAGATTAGTGACAAAACATTTGACAAGTACGAAACACAATTTTTGGGACACAGAAGGAGCTCAGAAGTATTAGCTCTTGTTAGTAAGCGACAAGATCGACAGTAGTTTTGCAGTCATATAATAACTTTTTTAACTGATGGATTGAATCAGTGAACAAGTATGACTTGAATAAAGATTCTGTAAGAGAGCAAGGACGTCACAAAACTGGAAGACCAGGCACCTGCCATGATCCCCAAATCACATTCATTCGTTCATTCGTTCATTCAGCAGACAGTCCCTGAACCCCTGCTCTGGGCCCCACACTGGAGTGAGTGTTGGAGCCACTAGGATGACCCATGAGGATGGGGTCCTGCGGGGCCCCACCACGTGCTGAGCACCGTGCTAAGCCCTATCCCCTGTAAGCCTTGGGAGTCCCAACTATTCATCCCCATTTTTCAGGCCAGAAAACTGAAGCTCAGAAACCAGGCAGCACAGGAGAGGACCACGGCCACTCAGTCAGGGTGCTGGTGCCAAGGACTTCGGGTTATGGCAGAGACACCTGCTAGGGAAGTGCCCTGAGAACAGAGCAACGGGGTGAGCACAGCAGGGGCCACTCTCGGTCGCACACCCGCTAGGGGCTCAAAAGGCCGGTCCGCTTGGGCCACCAGCTGCCTCCGAGACCTCCAGCCCCTCTCTGGCCTCGGCTTCTTCCACCGCAGGGGAAATGACCTTGGACGCTGCAGCACTGGTGTTTTCTAGGGCTGCCAATTCCGGAGGAACTGCTGGAGGAAGTCAGTCCATTTGAAGGGAGGGAAGGGACAGGAATCACATTCTGGGAACTGTTCCAACAGTGCAAAAGTGGGGACAGCGGACAGCTTAAGAGGAAAGGAGACAAGGCCAGGCCTTGGGCACTGCTCATTCTGGGCCCTGCTGACCAGCCGCAACCTTGCCCGACGTTGAGGCTGGAGCGCTTGGGGTCTGCGGCTGCCTCCTGTCCGAATGCCGTGCCCCTGGAGGGAAAATCACCAGGGACACCCGCCAAAGGCCTTCCTGATCAGCTCGCGCATTAATTCTCAGGGAACACTTCTGCAGAGATGCTGAGGTTTCAATTCCCCTTCGCCTTATTCCCACCTTTGAGCTTGTTTCCAAGGGAACGGCGTGGGGGCAGAGGGCCGCTGGGGGCAGATGCCCTTTGCTGGGCAGGGCTGTGCCTGGGGGAGAGGGGCCCTGGGGACCAGGGCACAGCCTCTCGGATTCTTTCCCGTGGTCCTGGCTTCAGACTGCTGCCACCGACCTGCCTCCAGCCCTGTGACTTTGACAAATTTAGACTTCTCAGCAACCTGAAGTGCATTTCAATTTCATAAATTTAGAAAGACTCTGGTGAGACAGGTTCCCTCTGCAGCAACGCATCCATTAAGTGCACTTTACGCCGATTTCGCAGTGCTAATCCATCACCAATCGCCGCGAAATTTGGGTTGTGAACATGTCCAACCCCCGATCCAAACCTCTACCGGATTCAGGCTGCTCACAAACAGGGTTCCTTAAAGCTGCAGGCTTCCCCTCTGCAGCAAGCTTCAGGGAAGAGAGGCACGGGCCCGTCTTGTGTGCTAGCGTGAGGGCTGTGTACCCTAACCTGTCCCCCAGGTGCAGCTCCCGACTCCAAGGGCGCAGCCGCAGCTCCGAGGCTGTGGAATTCCATTTCGGAGTTTCCTCCCGAGAAGCCTGAGAGACCATCAGAGAGGGCAGAGATGGAGTCATCGGTACCTCCGGTTTCCCCACCCCAGCTCAGGGCCTCCCCGGCCTACACGCCCAGGAAACGCCCAGTGAATGACCTGCTTGGAATTTCCTCGCTTGACCTATGGGCCACCAGACTTAGTCAGATTTTCACTATTTTCTAGAATCAAATGTTCCCACCAATGGGACTGGGGATCCGAAAAGCACAGGCAGAAACCTCTGAAGGAAATCAAAGACCCCAAGTGATTCCAATGGCAGCAGGGTCGGGATGGCGCCCCCTTGTTCTGCCTGTGTGAGGCCAGGAGGGAGCTAGGGGCAGTAACTGACGATACAGAGAACCTACCGGTGATGGAAGAGACATGACGCCCTGGCCCTCCTGGCCCAGCACTGTTCTACCAGTTGTGGGAGAGAGGCCGCCTGACTAGATGTCGAGCAGATAAGATAAAGTTTACATCGGCCGCAGTCTTCGCTTTCTTCTGTCCTAAGACCTACAGCAAAAAGGGCTGTTGACTTGGGAAATTTTGAGTTGCGTCGCCTGCCCTAGACGTGAAATCCCTGAGCCTCCAAAATAAATTTCATTTTCCTGGTTGAGTGTTTAATGCAGTCAAATGTTACAAAGGGGCGTCTGGGAGCAAGAGAAGGACACACACACACGCACACACACGTACACACGCACACACACGTACACACGCACGCACACACACGCACACACACGCAGAGGCGCTGTGCCTTGTCGGTGACAGGGACTCATTCCCTGCCCAGCTCTGCTGCTGGGTCACCCAGACCTGCTTCCCGTCCCCCAGGTCTAAGAGGAGACCTCAAGGGCTTCGCCGCCTCCTGGGCCTCAGGCATCCTGAGCACTTGCAGAGGTTGAGATGAGGGTCCTCAGCCAAGGCACAGCTCGGGGGGCTACACCCATGGGCTGCTTCGGTGGATCCCAGAAGACCCTGGCTTCACCGTTGGTCCATTGACCTGCAGTTGAGCGGTGGGCCCTTCAGATCGGCGGTGAGGCTGGGCCTTCTGGCCTCCCATCACCTTTCAGAGACCTGGACTCCAATCCACCCCGTCTCCTAAGCACATGGGCAGAGCAACGAGATGGGCCAACCACCTGGCTACACTGAGGCCACAGGGGAGGGGGGAGGGGGAGGAGAAAGACCCGTCTCCCCTCCCTTCAAGGACCCTCGCTGTGACATGGAGACAGGGGAAGAGGATACTTGTCCCGCCCTGACCTTACACTGGGCACTCTTCTGGGGGCCTTACCTGTTCCCCCAGACCAAGACGCTACTGCAGCGGCAGAGCTGGCCGATGCCGGGGCCTGAGGCACGGTGGAGCACAGGAGACATCTGGGGAGATCTCCGCTCTTGCTAGATGGGTCAGGGGAGCCAGAAATCTGAGTTTTATTGTGAAATAGCCCATTTTTAAAAACCTTTGATTGGCAACTAAATCAGATTTTTAAAAAATCGTACAATCCAGTGGAGTGAACCTAGTCGGACCGCAGGAGAGATGTCCACGGGCCACCACGTCTGTCCTACTCTGTGCGGACGGCTTCCGGACTCCGGCTACACTGAGGCTGCGCGGGCCGCAAGGGCTAAGGGACGCTGCCCCGAGTCACAGGAAGACGAGGACTGTGCAGCTGGCCAAGGCGCACAGATCCGCGCGTAGCAGGCAGGAGAGGGTGGCGCCCCCAATCCAGACACGAGCCCAGCGTCGCCTGAGAGCCTACCCCAGTCTGTCGTCACCCAGAGGGCAGGAGCACTGGCCGGGGGCTCCTCCAGGAGCCTGAGGGGCCACCAGGGGCTCATGCCAACCGGGACGGTGAGCACTGTCAGGCGGCAATGTTACCATCACAATCCTCGTGACCACCTGTCATTTCCTGTTTGCTGCTTTATTCTGTGGCCCAGGCCAGGCTGTATCACAGTCGATGGGATGTTTCTGGCCTCTGCTGGGCCCCGGGGGGTGGGGAATCTGGGAGGGAGAAATCAGACTCCGATGAGGAAGTGAGCAGCTCCTGGACTGAGAGGCCTCTGAGCTCTGCAGAGCATGCAGGCCCCGTGACCCTCTTTCCAGAGCCAGGGGGACCCACTGTCTTTGCACAGACATGAGGGGGACCTATTGGTTCTGAGACCTGGCCTTGCCTGTCTCCCCCAGGTGCCCACCAGGGTTGCATTGCAGATGAAGTCTTGTGTAACCTCTCCACTCCCCCACCCCACACTGGTCCTCCCCCCCCCCCCCAGGGCTGGGCCTGTGAGCCTCTGTGAGTCCTGGGTGTCAAGCACCAGCTTCCTGGCCAGCAGACTTCGCACGGGGCTTCCCTCCTGCGTCACAGGGGCGCAGGACTGGAGTCGGCTCCTTGGGTAACGGCCTCAGGAGGACCCGGGCTTGGCTGCCCTCTCCCTGCGGGAACCACTGCCGCCGATATTTGCATCACACCTGGTGTCACGAAACCAAGTCATTACTTAGGCTGTGATCAGAGCAAACCGCTGCCTCTCCGGCGGGGTCGTTGTAAAAACAATTATTTCCTCTTTCAATTTCGCCCGAGAGCTGAGCTGCTACTTGAAGAGTCGAGGAATCAAATATTCATAGAAACGACTGCATGCTTCTCATCTGGAATATTAATTCTGCGAGGGGACCACAGAGCCGGCGCTTAGCTTTTACGCCCTCAAGAAGGCGCTGTCTCCAGTCTCGGCTAAAAACATAAAACATAGACCACGTCCCCCGGGTGGCCCCAGGACGGCAGCCAGGCCCTGCCCGGGGCACAGAGTCGCGGTGACGGTCCCAGAGCCGTCACACCTGGGTCTCCAGGGCCGTGCAGGGCACACACGCTTTTGTGCTTGTCCAGCCTGCGGGCCCTGCGCCTTACCCCCCGGAGACTCGCAGGAGGGACAGCGACGTGTCTTATACACGGAGCTGCAGCCTCAGAAGGAGCAGCAGTCTCGCCCAAGAACTCAGTGCTGAGAAGTCCTAAGTGTGACGACAAGATCGAGTCTGAGGCCAGCCTCTCCCCTCCAAACCCTCCTCACTCTGCAGAGCTCAGCCGCCCAGCCGCCCAGAGAAGTGTCCTTTCTTCCACCCATTTTACAGATACGGACGCTGCAGCTGAGGGCACTTTGCCTCGGACATGTTCCCCGAGCCCCCGTAATGTCCACCCACCTGCCCTTCCGCCCAGAGGAGGTTCCCAGCGCCCTAGGACCCTGACCTGCTTTTCCCGGGCTCGGGGCCCCTCGCCGGTATGGCTTTGGCGCGTTTTCAGTCCTTCTGCCTTTCGGCCGGCACCGGAAGACATCCACACACCGAGGCACCGCTGCAGGTCGTGTGCACCTGGGCCGATTTCCTGCTGACTCAGCCAGGCCGGGCCAGAGCCGCCGGGCGCCTCTGGTGCGGGTGGGAAACACCGGTCGTTGAACAGTCGTCCGTGCACGAGAAGGCGGTCAGGCCTTCACAGGGCAGAGAGGCTCGGACGGTGTGCCTGTCCCCCAATCCTGCCCCTCTGGGGCGGGCTCCTCAAGGGGCACTTCCTCCTCTGTTTTGGTAACAGGGCCTCTCTTTGCAGAAACACACAGCCGAGACTTGCTTAAGCCCGAGCCCGGCTTCCGGTTCCTATTTTCACCCCACGTGGCCCTGCTCCATGAATCGGACGAATGATTGCGCCCCTCTGCCCTTCTGCCTACCCGTCCGCCAATGGCTGGAATCAGACGGAGGGATGGATTGATTGATAAAGAGCCCACCGCTGATGATCTTCCAAGAACCTCCAAGCTCAGGGCCCCTCCCTGGCGGCTGAACCCTGGGTCCGTGATGACTTGAATGGACTTTTTTTCTTTATTCGTCACCTGAGGATATTTTTCTACTTATCATCAGATAGAGTGTGTGTGTGTGTGGGGGGGGGGGGGACACAGAGAGAAACATCAGTGTGATAGAGCCACAATTCTCTCCCAAGCCCTAGAATGCTGTATCCCGCTGCCCCCTGGGCACACCCACCTGTGAGTTCCCTGTCTTCCCCCAAAGCTGCCCCGGCCTCCCTGTCCCCACTCAGCAAAGGCCAGTCACCCAAGTGAGGAGGCTGGGAATCGCCCTGACTTCCAGCTGGTCGGGTCATTCTGCGCGCTGACAGCTCGAGGACCCGGCCCCTCCCTCCTTGTCCCATTGTCACGGCCCCAGCTCCGGCCTCCACGCCCCTTGTGAAGACCCTTGCAGTAGACTCCATGGGTCTCCTTGCCTCCGGCCCTGCCACCAATCTGGAGCTCGACAGAAAGCTCAGAGCTTCCCAAACACCCTCCTCCTTCTGGTCCCAGGGTCTTCAAACGTGTTCTCCCTCAGCCCGGGAGGTACACCCACCGCCACCCTCAGGGTAGCAGACACAGCATTGCTCATTGAGTATCCACGTGCTGTCCCGCATTTCCCAGCCCGGCCTGCAGCTCGACTGGGCCGTGTGACGAGCCCTGGGCAGTGGGCTGGCAGCTCTTCACATGCGGTGTGGTGAGATGGGAGACCCCAAGCAAGGACGCCTCCATCACTGAGTCATGGCGAGGAATGCACCCAGTGTCGAGTCTCAATGTGCCTGGCCTGTGCGTGAACCCCTGGGTCCAACCACTGAGATTTCAGGGTTACAGTGATTGTAGCAGAGCCCTAGCCCACCCTAACTGACAACCTGGTGAATTCCCTTTCCTCCTTCAAACAACTTGAGTCACCTCCTCTAGAGGCCTCCTACCCAGGCCCCCAGTAACACTCAGGTCCCCAACCTGTGCTTCTATAATGAACTGCTATTTCCTGAAGGAAAGGAAATTTGTCACCTTCATCATCATTGCCATCATCATTAGCATCACCATCATCATCACCATCACCATCATCATCACCATCATCACTATCACCATCATCATCACCATCATCACCATCAGCATCACCATCACCATCAGTATCACCGTCATCATCACCATCAGCATCACCATCATCATCACCATCACCATCAGCCTCACCATCATCAGCATCACCCCATCAGCATCACCATCACTATCACCACCATCATCATCATCACCATCATCATTATTACCACCATCATCACCATCACCATCAACATCAACATCACCATCATCAGCATCACCCCATCAGCATCACCATCGCTATCACTACCATCATCATCATCACCATCACCATCAGCATCACCATCACCATCACCATTATTATCACCATCAGCATTATTATCACCATCACCATCAGCATCACTATCATCATCACCATCACCATTATCATTACCATCAGCATTATTATCATCATCACCATCATCTTCATCATCACCATCACCATTATCATCAGCAGCAGCATTATTATCATCACCATCATTATCACCATCCCCAGCAGCAGCAGCATTATCATCACCATCAGCATTATCATCACTATCACCATCATCATCATCTTCAGCATCACCATCAGCATCACCATCACCATCACCATCAGCCCCATCATTACCATCAGCAGTAGCAGCATCGTCTATCTCTTCTTACTATGTCTAAATGCTTTACACATACACTGTATCTTATCTAACCCTGATAATCACCAGCTGATATATGTGCTGCTTATTGTTCCTGTTTTGTAAACCAGGGAACTGAGCCTCAGAGAGGCCATGTGGCTTATTTAATCAGCCAGGCGCCGAGGGGAAGTCTGTCTGTTCAGACTCACAGCCAACATGCCTTCCCACCACGGACCCCTGCTCGTCCACCTCCGGCACTCAGCACCGGCCATGAGTGCGCCCCCAAGTGTGCTGACTGAACACAGAGATGGTGCTTCCTTTCATACGGCAGAGGCTCTGGGGAGAGGCGGGCTGCCCTCTGGTGCTGGGGCCAGAGGCGAGGTGTGCCCAGAAAGACCCTCCTCTTGACCTGTCTCTCCAGGACAGCTGAGCCCAGACATTTCCTCCCACCTCAACTTGCGGACAGTTTCTGCGATGTGCCTTTAAATAGAAACGAGGGAAGGGTGGGATGGACACAGTCTACACTCCTCGCTTCCACTTGACTCTGAGATCTGAGATAAGGGATTATTATGCCCATTTCCTGGATGAGAACATGAGCCCAGAGATGTTAGACAATATGCCCCTCAGACAGTGCAGAACCACATGAGTGAGCCCGGCCCTCCCAGAGGAAGCCACGCGGTCTCCCGGCCCCGTGCTGCCTCTGCTCTGGGGGACGGAGGAGGCACCTGGGCGGGGGCCTGAGCCGCCCGTCATGGGCCTGGAGCGGGTGGAGAGGGAGCTTGCAGGTCGCTCTGGAGCCGCGTCTCCGGTGTCACGTTCAGCACAAGGGACCCATTATGCGGACTGTCCTCTTTCCTGCGCAGAAAGAAAGGCGAACCTGGGGGAACAAGTGGGAAGATTGTCTGCAAGACTCCGGGAGGCCGGCTCTGGGACGGAGCACGGGTGCGGGCGGAGAGCTGCCAGGCGGGCAGACAGTGCGCATTTTGTCCTGCAGTGGCTGACCTCGGCATGCCAGACGTGGGGACAGGAGATGCAGCCCGTGAGACAGCCAGCGGGTGGGAATTCACCCTTCACGACGGGCTGGTGGCTTCCCCTGGGGATGAGAAAAGCTACGGCCGAAGGCCATCGACAGAGACGGGGAAAGAGAGGGCCCCTCCTCCTCCTCGGAACAGCGTCTCGGCGTGTCTGCCCTGATCCCCAGAGAGGCTGCGGCCACTCGCCTGCAGCCCGAGGACGAGGCCCACGCGCAGGGCTGGGCGGAGCCCATGGGACCGGGCAGAGGAGGCCAGGCCTCGGCCCCCATGGGGAGCGTGCCTTGCTCTGGACTCCAGGCCGAGATAACAAACATTCTTGCGGTTTACAGCAGCTGGAGTCGAGGCCTCTCTATTACTCACAGCAAAATCACCCCGAATGGAAGCGCCAGAGTGGGGCCTTATCCTGGGGCGATGAGAACAGATGGAAAGTGCACTGGCAGATGGGTGTGTGGGCGGACAGAGGTGTGGACAGACAGACAGGTAGCCACTGCCCGGTGCAAAAGGCTGCCCTCAAGGAGACAGGGTCTCTAGGGGGGCTCCGTCCAGGCCACACCCCGCGGAGAAGCTGCCCTGGCGTGGGAGCCACACAAGGAACAGTCTGCTCACTGAGCAGCTGAGACTGTGCCACAGCCTAGGACATCAGAATCCAGCACCACGGGGCTCTCGCCGCCCCGTCACACCAACCAGAGGCACAGTGCCCATCACCTCTCCGCCCACAGAGACAGCGCTGTGCCTGGCTGTGAACGCGGGGTCACTGGAGAGCGTGTGTGATTGAAAACACAGCCACGTAATCACAGATGTCACGTCCACCTCCCCTTCACCAATAAACAAAGGGGGAACCTCAGACCAGAAACTCCCGAAGCATCAGTGTGGGGACCTTGGGAAACAGGACAGATGACAAAGTCAGGGCTTGTGCTCCTCGGGTGCCCGAGGCGGCTGCCCGGGTGGCCTGTGTCCTGCCAGGTTGAGAGCAGAGCACCGGGTGCTCAGGGCCCATGAGACACCCGTGTGGCGTTAATGGACAGTCTCCTGGGGAAGCGCACGGAGTCACACATCCCTGGGTTTGCACTGCGGCCCTGCCGTTTCCTGACTGCGCCTCAGTTTCCCCACCTGAAATGGGGAGGGCTTTGTGTACAGGGGTCAGGTCCACGTCGGGTAGAGGGGGAGCCTGGCTCGTCGGAGGGATTGAGACTGGGAACCGAGGAGGGTGGAGGGAGGGGGACCCAGTGGGGAGAGCAGGGCTTTCGGCCACGCTGGCCCTTCCCTAGAAATGAAGGTCCCCTCGCCCTGCTTTTCAGCCTCCCAAAGTGTTGTTCTCGTTCATTGACTCAACATAGCCCCCCTGGGTCCTGCTCTCCGATGGGTCGTGTTGGGGGCGCTTTCTGTGTCGGGCCCGCTGAGCGTCACCCATCCTGAGTCCACATTCTCACAAAGCAAACCGGGGAGCACTCGGATGGACATGCCGAGCCCCCTCGGACCCCCGTGCCCTCGGGCACAGCTGGCCACAGAGACCCCTGCTGCTCACCGCCACCCAATCCCGTGAGGCTCCCGGGCCACTTCTCCCTTCAGAGAGGCGCTGTGTGGGCATTTTCCTGCCCGCTTCCCAAACTCCGGGGCACCTGTAAGCAGCAGCCCCGTGGCCAGCTCTACAGACGAGCCCAGGGTGCGGGCCTGTCACACCCTCGCCGATGGTAAAGCCATTTCCAAGGGCCAAGGCAAGAGACACCTCTGTTCTAGAACATTCTCTGCATTTCCCCCAGACCTGATTGTCCCATAGTCTGTCTCCCTTACCCTGGTATGTAATGGAGATCTGGGACCAGCTGTCCCTATTAGCATATGAAAGAAATCTTCCCGTTTCGCTGATTGTCATTATTTGACGACCCCCCTCATAATTCCTGCAGATCTAAGAGCAGAACATGGTGTGAACACGGAAAGATTCGGGGAGGGGGTTAGAGAGAACAGGATCCAACAATAAACCTTTGTCCCTCGTGTCCCCCACCACCAACGCACAGCGTCCACCCGGGGGAGGGGCCAAGCAGGAGCTGGGTGGATGTCAGG